GACGCTATTAGTTTTGTGTGGTCTGTCTGTCCGTCCGTCAGTCTTTACGTCGAGTTTTGATCTAGAAAACTGAACTTTAACCTACTTTATGGGGTCTTTGTACGGTCCCTGACACAGTCAGAAGAATGACAAGCCTGTTGCCAGTCCCTTCTATAACTATTTTTCGAGCGAACTACATGAGGGTCTAATTACACACGTACATTAGTATGATGACCTCAGTCCTATGAGAACCTTTGTCAGGCAGAGTGACCCCTACATACTTGTGCAGCCAGTTCAGTTATGTAAAAAAGAAATATGGTTATCTGTACAAAAAAAAAAATATGTTGGTCTGCGAGATAGCTGGAACTGGTTCTGCATTCAGTCTTATGTTTTACCTGTAACATGTTTTTTTTAAACATGTTTGCATTTATTTGTATATTTTGGTACTTATTATTTTAATTCTTTTTTTAATGACAATTTTATAATTATATAAATATTTGTACCATATTAATACAGCCTTCTGTGAACCAGGATTTTATTCACCTGACAATATCATTTGCTCCATATGTCCATTCGGTACTTACAAAGGTGAAGCTGGAAACATGCCATGCACACCTTGTCCTGAAAACACAACAACTCTGTCATTTGGAAGCACCAACATCAAACAATGCAATTTAAGTATGCTTTCTTCAAATATTAAAACTACGATTATAACATTGTTCTAATTCAACTGTAATTATCTAATCCCGAAATTCATAATCCATATTTTCAAAAACATTCGAACCCAGGATCTCAGCTTTGCTTAACTACTAAGCCACCGCGTTTCTTACTATAACCTATAGAATGTAGAAACTCTAGTCTTTATTGGGTGTTTCTCAAATAGAAAACATTCTGCTTAAATTTGTTTCATATATATTGATTGTTGACCAAATTATGGAGTATCGATACGAGAATGGGTGTGGTTAAAATAACGCATTTAACTATCTAAGGGGACAAAACCCCAAACATTTAACCATACATATGAGTACTGAATGGACCTCATTCACCAATCGTTTAGCCATGTGGTTCTCTATCTCTTCTATACAAATTACGTAATCAATAAGGCTGTCACGTGATACGTTTTTTTTTCATTGTTTTATCAATATTATCAAGTGGCTTAATGTTGTTTGTTCACGATTGGTGAATGAGGTCCATTGTTAATTTCTCTTCTTAGTATCAAACAAAATATGTAATTACCAGTAATTGATTGACTTGTTGATTAGTGTTTAGAGTGTTTACCAGTAATTGATTGACTTGTTGATTAGTGTTTATAGTGTTTATATTTGATTTATGTATTGTTATTGTCAATGAATAATTGCGTAAAGATTAAATTTCTTCCGAAATTGGTTATGGGAGAATAATGGGTTCCAACTTTTATCAGACAGAAAACAGAGTTGATATAAACTTTTCAATACTAAAAGATCTTAAACAACAAGTCAATGTGTAATGATAGAATGCAGTGAGAAAATAATATGTGTGAGAAAGAAAGAGTGTGTGAGAGAGCAAGAGTGAGAGAGAGTGTGTGTGTCTGGAAGAAAGTGTGCGTAAGAGAGTATGTCTGAGAGAGATTGTAGAGGAGATAATGTTTGAGTGTGTATTTGAGCAAGGAGTAGGAAGGTTACAACTAAAGGTCTAACTATTGCTTGTGCATACTTTTAATAGAGCTTTTTGTAAGAGAGAGAGAGAGACTATGTTTCAGAAAGAGTGTGAGAGATAGTGTGTGTGTGTGATGAAGTATTAACGAGTGCGAAAAGTGTATGAAAAAGATTTGGTGAGAGAGAGAGAGAGTTGTGGAGAGAGGGTGAAATAGAGGAGAGAGCGCGTGTAAGAGGGACAAAATAAAATAAAGGGAATGTGTGTTAGAGAGAGTGAGAGGGAGATAGTGTGTGTGAAATCGTGATATTTATAGAGAGAGTAGAGAGTAGAGACAATGTGAGCTGATAACATTACGAAGGCTCGAGGCGCTGCGATAACATTACAAACATAAACACAAGAGTTGAAACGACCAACTAATTTTTAAACAAGTTTTGAAGAGATAGATCTAGGTCTTTAGGTTCCACTTAAATGTAATAAAGAATGTTAACTGCCTGTGATCAATGGATTTGGCGTAGTTTGTACGTATCGGTACATTGACTAAAAGACATTCTTAAACAACTTCCTGAACACAGCTGATAGAATCATTGAAGACCATAATTAAGTACTGTTTAGCACAGAGAACATAAGAGGTTGCTTTTGTTGAAACAATGCTAGAAAGCTGCTATTAGAAAACCTTCATTGCCTTGCCCTTGCAAGTAATTTAAAGGAAGATGGTGGTTTTGTACGTCTTAGAGCATTAGTTCAGGCATCTCTAGGATACCACTGCGCTGTCATCATGAATTCTCTATGAGTTTTCCTAGGATACCACTACGCTGTCATCATGAATTCTCTATGAGTTTTTCTAGGATACCACTACGCTGTCATCATGAATTCTCTATGAGTTTCTCTAGGATACAACTACGCTGTCATTATAATGTCTTTATGTAGTGCATACATGTCATCATACAGGTCGAGAATTTTTGGTTTCTCAGACCTGTCGAGACGGAGATCAGCAAGTTAAGGGGAGATCAGCAAGTCAAGGGGAGATCAGCAAGTCAAGGGGAGATCAGCAAGTCAAGGGGAGATCAGCAAGTCAAGGGGAGATCAGCAAGTCAAGGGGAGATCAGCAAGTCAAGAGGAGATCAACAAGTCTGGGGCAGTCAAAATGAATACGAGACACGGTTTCCTCTTTTTCCGTGAGTTAATGTTTGGCCATAGCCGTGAGAAATATGAGTACAATGGCCTGACCTGCACTGTGCTATAAAAGCTTTCTGAGAAAGGCATCGACAGCCTCCACCACGGGTAAGTGCGGTCAGGGCGCCTCATGTGCTCTCAGACTTCACAGGCTTTTGGAACTAGTTCAAGCACTCAAACCAATTTTCCGTTTCTGTTTTATGTGGTCTATTAAATGTCTCTACCCTGTCATTATGATGTGCCTTAGGAGTTTTTAGAATCTCACTACGCTATCATGTTATATTTATGAAATCTCTAAGTTTTACCTAACGATCACTAAATGCTATACCTATACTGTTTGGGCCGTGCACCATTGCTGCTTTATCAGATACTGGGCTGTTTAATTTTTTCTACTATCTGCTTCCAAAGCAATTTAAACTTTTCAGTAAACTTATAAAGAATCGAATGGTTACAGACTCTAATCATATAAAATGAGAGAAGGTTATAATACTTCATCTTTATCTAGTAGCCTATTAGCAAAAAATGTTTTATTTTCATACACAATATAGTAGAGTTTGTACTTGCAGAAGTTTTTTTGTGTGCTCATTATGGCTTTAACGGGCAAAGGAGACTCGGATTGGGCAGAAGGAGTTATAGTCCCAGAAAAAAAAAACGGGTGTAAGAACATGACCATCTAGCTTCAGACAGCACGTATCCCTTATAGAGGACGTACGTATGCCAAAGTAGTCTTTGTTTTTTGGTGCGCTGAAAGATAGTCAAGGTCACAAGGGTGCCCCTAAGAAATGTGTAAGCGCCAACGCGCTTTTACTGACATTGAAGAGAGCAAATGGTTGCAGGCGGCTTCAGAACAATGGAGATCACTTACAAAGACAGCGGGGTGCACTTTTGAGACATAAGGAAAATCTGCTTCCGAAGACAGACTTAGATGGCGAAAGAAAAACTAAGTCAAACATGTTGGACAATGGTTATGTCCATATGGATGTGGAAAAATATGTAGGTTGCAGCTGCGACTCTGTAGTCACTGGAAATACTGCATTCCTCATATCCTTCGGACTCGAAGACAAGACTTAACTTGAGACACAAGGACAGAACAAATCTCTTTCCTATTGACTATTCTTACTGACTCTTCAACTGACATTTAAATAGTTACCACATAAAAAAAACGTGTTTATTTTATGCACTGTTAAAGAATAATTTTTATTTTATTTATATGCTAAACAGTACATTGTGAAAAAGGATTGTTTTTAAGAGATAACATTTCCTGCTCTATTTGCCCAAATGGAACCTATAAAGACTTTACTGGAAATCAGCCATGTATAAAATGCCCTATGAACACAACTACTAGAGAAGTCGGTGGTACTGACATCAAAGATTGCTCTTTGGGTATGTCATCTTTCCTTTTTATATTTTTAAAAAATTACATATTTAAAAAAAAATCCATATGAAACTACTCATTTACATTACTTAACCAAAGATCACTTTTTAGAATTTTCTTTTTATAATTATTCGGAATTAACAGATTAAAATGACACAATGGTGCTGCTATTGTTACATGTGTCATGCACCGCTGGGAAAATCCCCCATAGTCATGCACATCTGGCGGGGGGGGGGGGGGGGTGTATGTAATTAAAATCAATTATTAAAATAGTTTAGTTGGATGACGTTAGGTCTAGTGCAGTGGTCTTCAACGGGGGCGCTTTCGTGAAATTGTGAGGCGCTGGGAGCTAAAGGGTCGGAGAAGAAACTAAAGGTGCACTGAAACAAAAAAAAAAATACTGCTTCCAATTTAAGAACAGAAACAACGTTAGAAATTGAGTTCGGGAATCCCATGTTCTATTTTTAAATTCTCAGTCCGCTGCTGTTATCGAAGAGTTTCTATTGTGCTTAGATCTTATGCGAGTAAATATATTTGATTTGATAAACAAACCAGGTAATACGCCTTTGAGATTATAGTTTTTTTTAACTACATATATTAATCTATTGATATGTAAATGTTAGTTTAAAAAAAACAACTACGTTAAAGGTAACATTCAAATAGAATAATTTAACTTTTTTTTATACTTCGAAAAGTTGTTACGCGTAAATATTAACAAAGTGTTGTTACGAAAATTCGCTGGTATGTAAAGGAGTATTTTCTTGAGTTTTAATGAATTGCTACTAGATAAAAAGTATTCCAATGTTCTACTTTGAATGATGGCATTTTCAGATGCGGTTTTGAAACCAAGTCGGCGTCACGAACATATAGCAATATCCAAAAATAATTTAAGAATATTCATGAACAATTATGAAAAATTTACTATTCAAAAAATATATATAAAAAAACAGCAAAGCAGTATATGTTTTAGTAGCCTCTTAGTCTTATGATATTGTTTGAAAATTGATAAAAATTTAAATTTAAATTTTTGAAACGCATGTGTGACACAAAAAGACTTTTTTGGGGTTAATGATGAAATATTATTTGGAAATTGTCTAGTTATTTAGCTTATGACGACATATCGAAACCTCAAGTGGTTGGACGCTGCAATGGCTTCATAAGTTTTATAGAATTAAGAACAAATCTATCTGCTATTCACCGTGTGAGTTATGATACACAGGCAAGTTTAGCCCGCAATGTCATTTCTATTTGAATATAATGATAAACATTGTAAATAAAATACAAGGCAATCCCGAAAATAAGCTAATCTTTCTAGAGTTTAGTGAAACAAATCAAAAGCAACATATTAAACTCTTATTGTAAACTGAACTTCGCTGGATTTCGAAAGGGAGTTGTTATTGCTTCTTTTGCTAAGCTCTTAAAGACAAATTTGAAATTTTGTTTTTGAGAAACAAGAAGATTCAACAGTTAGTGATGACTTAAGCAGATTAAGCTAATTGTTTTACATGGTAGGCATCTAACACAAATGAATGTAATCAATCTCCTCTAAGCTCGCCAAAGAAGATCGCCTTTCTAACGACACCGTAGACCAGCACGTATTACAGGTTGGGTAGGAGAACATATTGGTAGCATAGAAGAGAGAAGAGAATCCCTTTAGTTCACAAGATCCAAATGTTTAATGTAATAGCCGACGATCTTGATACATCAAAGAATAAAGATGGTTTTTTGTTGTGAGCTAGATTCTGTTTAAATATCATTTTATTTCATTACTATTAGATCTATAATTCATCTCAAGTTAAATCTGTGAAGATTGTAAAAACAGTTAAATTGAGTTTTTGCTCACATAAAAAGTTTGATCAAGTTTTTTAAAGTTTATTTATTGAAAATATAAAGCGCCTACATTGGTTCAGTTGTACTAACTGTTTGGAGCAACAAGCCAACGACCAACCAACAAGGAGAGGAGGTGGCAATCAAAATGTTTTATTTTAAGTGTAATGTATCGGAATATTAGTAAAATTACAGTACTACAATGGTTTAAACATCCAAATATCTGAAGTAGGACATGTCGTTGTATCTTCCAATAGGACTTTGTCAATTGTAGACCTTTTTCTTGCGAGATGTGTCTGCAACAATATAAGTGAAAACGTTTCCGCTAGTGTGAGTCTTCGGAATCTTTTATTTGTTTCGGAACGGTCGAAATTCTTACGACAATTGCACTTCATTATGTTGACGACTTTTGTGTGAAAAAAAAAGATCCGCGACAGAGAAGTCTAACTTAAGACCAAGACTATGTTTTAAAAGTGTACAGACATCCGAGCGCTTTCTGTTTGCCTTCTTTATATTGTAACGAATCTCACTATCCAGGTTCTCTGCAAACTGCACCACACGACACCACCAACTTAGAGAACTTGACAACTCAGGGCTCCAATATAACGTAATAGTTTAGTGTCCAATAAATCACAGCCAATAATGTACAATTGGCAGCACGTAACAAACACTGTACAAAAGCTTCACACTCGGGTGTATCAACTCTGTAACGCTGTATCAACTCTCCGCCTCTTCCTAGACTTGCACCTGATTCTATGTTCCGGGTCGACTTCACCTAGAATGGTTTTTGACTCCGACTTCGACTCGTACTTATGGTTCCTACTGGCCTTATGGAACCGGACGGAACATTGCTCGACCCTTCAGGTTAATGACATGACCACATCACTCATGACGCTCCTCAGCTCTATTCATTCTAGATGTTTCAAAAACTTCGCCAGTCATCGCAGTTGACCATCTTGGCTCTTCACGGTTGACCACTCGTCTAGCGCTGGGCGATTAGTGCCGGCTGTAAAAATACCCAATCACTAAGATACAGGAATGGATGAAACATAACAAATCAAATATAATAACTATGGCTTCAAACGTAGACAACCATAGCGGCTTATATAATACTAGATGAAGATATAACATCGACATAAAACAGCAAAATGTACATGCACAATAAAGTCATGATGTAATGACGGGGAACGTGGTTGTTTACTAATGTGTACTCACACATTCCTATAAGATAAAATAAGTATAGTAAAATATTTACACTCACCCGTTTGTCCCTAACGAAACCTCACAAGTACACTTCCTAACAGAGGAGACTGTATGAATTTTAGCGGACCTAACTTAGAATGTTTTGGTCTCTCTCTCTCTCTCTCTCTCTCTCCTCTCTCTCTCTCTCTCTCTCTCTCTCTCTCTCTCTCTCTCTCTCTCTCTCTATATATATATATATATATATATATATATATATATATATACATAGATGGGACTTTTCGTTTAACGGGTGGGGAAGATAGCTAGGTGATTTTCTCACATGTATCTATGTATCTATGTACTGGACATGTCAGGCGTCATGTCCGATTTATGGCCTGTACCGTGAGAGTAAGAAAATTTAGCGAATATGTATCTGTCCAGCTCGAGTGCAACCCTATCTTTAGCTCGATGCGTATTCTGCGGGGGGGGGGGGGGGGGGGGGGGGATAGGTGTGAAAAGTTATTAGGCCGCTGCGTGTAGCGTGTTGCTGGAAAAAACTCAAATGAACTGTAGTATGCAAGTTTCATATCGATCGTCACATAGGGTACACATTCTTTGTCTTTTTTTTTTCTTTCTTTCATCCTTCAAACGAAGGAACTTCTATTAAAGAGTATGCACAAAAAAACCTAGTCCCATTAGTTGTAGTCTTCCAACTCCCTGCACAATAATGCCACCCACATATACACATACACTATTTTGAAATGGAACCCCCCCCCCCTTTCCGCGTAACAATGTGAACAATAACATCACTACTCACAAAATATTATAGTCCACAATGTTATTTAGATTTTGTCATGGATCATGGAACTTGTAACCTTATTTAATATAACTCATCTTCACAAGCCGTATTAAACAGCCCCTTTTGAAAAAGCAACAAATCACACGGACGCACACTTTTAATATGCCCTCACATTCACTGTGCTAATTTTATTTGTTAATGTTTATATTGAAATAGAAGCATACTTGCAGATCTAGATCTAGTCGTTGTAAACTTGTTCTACACACACTTACTTTCATACAGATGTAGAAACACATTAAATAATCACTATGAACTAAGGACAACCCATCACCTACACTCTGACAATTATCTCCACCTAAAGGAGAATTACATTAAAGATCTAGATCTACAAAGAATAATACATAGAAAACGACTTCGAAAACAAGTTACGCACCTAAAAGTGATCATAACTGCTTAAGCGAAAGGAATTATTGTTGTGTACATTAGACAGAAATATTCCGGCTGTCACATACTTAGTTTGTAAACATTGCGAATAAAAAAAAATGTTTTTGGTAAATTTATCCACTGCGGTTTTCATCTAGAAAATGGCTTAGTTTTCCTAAGCTTTAGTTAAATGTTAGATTTTTTAAAATAAGTTGGAAAATGTTTACCCAGCCCCAATCTTTCTCCCCCGCGACAGAATCCTGATTAAGGGAATGTATATCTAATATTCATATGACATACCTTTAAATCTAGCCTTAGAAGTGGTTGCGCAGAATGTACCTTAAAATTAATGTATTAAAATCTTGAATTTTATGCTGACATATTCAAAGACCTGTCAAGAAATACAATTTTTATTCACTAGTGCAATTGAAAAGTATTATTTTTATATTTTCAACAATGATGATGGTCACACTAGAGTTTTCCCAACTCTTTTTCCAACGATATAATCAACTGTCAAATTTCTAAGAAATTAGTTAGAGCCGTTTTCGAGATCCTTGTCCAGGGTGTTAAGCCCACCCACCTTGACGGTTTTATTTTCCACAGAGGAACGAGTTTAATAAATGCATTGTAAATAAACAAACGCGATAGTCCTCAAGAACGCTAAGTCCTCAAGAACGCTATAGTCCTCAAGAACGCTATAGGCCTCAAGAACGCTATAGTTCTCAAGAACGCTATAGTTCTCAAGAACGCTGTAGGCCTCAAGAACGCTATAGTTCTCAAGAACGCTATAGGCCTTAAGAACGCTATAGTCCTCAAGAACGCTATAGTCCTCAAGAACGCTATAGGCCTCAAGAACGCTATATAGACTTTTCAAAACCGATGTTGATCTAGACCTAGTTCAAGAAACCAAATAGAAATGTATTTGTATTCTATAAAATATTAGAAAAGTCAAAATAGAGTTATGGCTAACGGGCTAGTAATTTTTTTTCAAACACCATAAGTGAACAAAATGTATTAGAAAATCAGTTGAGCTGTTTGCAATATCCTTGTCCACTCAGATTCAACCTACACAGGTTTCTCCATAAAATTCCGACTTCAATAGAGGTATTGTAAAAAGAAAATGACGCTAAACTATAATAATTTTATTACATGGGTTAATTACAATTTTAAACTTACAAACAATTTTTACATCATCTTATTATTAATAGAATATAGAATTTTCATGCTACGAGGACCAGAAATTTTATTATCGATTTTTTTGTTTGAACGAATCACTTTGCAATTTGTATGCTTATATCATGCACATATTTTATTGGAATTTAGTTTCCGTACATTAGTTTAAGTTATTTTGGGTCCAGTACAAAGTTTGTTGTTAAGTTGTGATACTACACTAACAAATCAACAACACCAAGGCTTGTATTGTAGATTGATACAAATAATCCTATGTCATTAGCTACAAATGTAAATACAGACTACTTTACAAACATTTCTATTAAGCGCCAAGTCGACCTTTAATCGGGCTATTGCGTTTAATAATACAAATTAAATTAAAGCGCCAAGTCCACCTTTACTCAAGCTATTATGTTTAATAATTCATAATGAATTAAGCAGAATCCTGATACTCCTCAACCATTTCAAGACCTACTATAAGAGCAGATGTCTGGCACTAGTGTTAAGATTGTGTATATACGAACACAATTAGTTTCAGCTTATATTCAATCTAAATCGTTGTCGTTCTGCTATCTCATCTAATTCCTTTTCTTCTTCTAATATACCCTCAGTAAATATTTAAGTTAATACGTTATTAACTAATGCCTCAATTTTCGTTATAGAGCACATAACTTTTTCTTGTTATTCTA